AGGATATTTTCCCAGTTATCAGAGTGGGAAGGAGGGAGAGAGAGACAGAGAAACATCGGTGTGGGAGAGCCACATCGACCAGCTGCCTCCCGCACAACCCGACCGGGCCGGGGACGAACCGCATCCGATTTGATAGTGTTTTGATAGACGAGTCTCCTGTCTGCAAGAGGCACCAGGCCGTTTGTCGGAAGATCCTGAATTTATTAATAAAAGCAGAGTGTGTAGTTAGTTAGTTATTGCTTTGCCTATTTCTAGCCAATAAGGCAAAATCAACCCGATGCCAAGTGCTCCTGGAAGTGATATTTACGTGTAACGAGTCTCCAGGGAAGCAGAGAATCCACACCTGGCTGTGCACACGGTGTCTTCAGGCGTCAGGTTTGATTTTTCATCAGCGTGAGCGGGCTGCTCTGTTGGTCTGGTCCGCCGAGGGAGGGAGGTACTGGCTGCAGGGGTGACGCTGTCCCCCGCCATCGCTCCAGCTGGGAACCGATCTCAACGGCTTCCCTCCGGGGACGAGCGTGCAGCAGGAGCCAGGGCCAGTTCCCAGGAGAACTGTTCTTCCTGGACTCACATATGTGATTGTTTTCTTCTGGCTTCACTGAGCTTTTATTGAACTCTCCACTGCACGTCCTGTAGATGGGACACTTCGACCCGAGGCTGCGACTGAAGTCAGGCAGGACGGTCCCGTTGGGAGACCTCGCGGGTGATGCCGTGACCTCTCCGGTGTTCTGTGTCAGGACCGGTGGTTTCACTGTTCCGGATGCTGAGCTCCATCACTGGGTTCGTGGTTCTGTGAAAATCACCCCCTTGCTGCCCGCACAGCTGTGATTTCCCCCTTTAGACAGTGAACACTCTGCGTGGGTAACTGGGGGCCGATCACGGTCCCGTCTTTGCCGACCCGACGCAGGCTCACGTTCTGTCCCGCGACCTGCGCTTTCATCGACGGGAACTGCCGTCCACACAGCGGGCACGAACGAACCGTTACTCCGAGGTGGCGTTCCACGTGGTGGAGGAGGAATCCTTATCGAAATCTGTCTTCACCCGTTTTCTCAGCGAGGCGTTGACAGGACCGGCATCTGGGTTGGTGGCACCTTCCTTCCTTCCCTGTGCTCAGCGCCACTGGGTCCTCCTAGAGTCAAGGGCCTCGGCCCGTAGCCTCTGCCACGCTGCGGCAGATGGTGTTGACCGAGGAAGGCGACACAGTATATCTGGGCCACATGTTCCCCTAATGGGATGTGGACCGGGCTGCGTTACTTCTGCCGGCACTCTCTCGGGACGGGTGCTTTTAGTGAAATCCAACACCCCCCCCCCCCAGCCACCATGTCCGGGGTGTTGGGACCACAGCACAGAGACACAGATGACAAAGGAGTCTGCTCGCCATCCCTTAGCCCCTCGAGTCCCGGCCACAGAACGAGGGTGACCGACGAGTCCCCAGAGGCTGTCAGTTACCAGCGTCTGAGGTGCCCAGTTGATGCTGAGTGGTGGACAGTGAGCCCAGAGCCCAGATGAACTGAGAGAAGAATGATGTAGCCGAGTTGGGCCCCAGTGAGCAGGGCAGAGGCTCCCCAGGTTCTCGCCCGGGGCCTCGGCCGCCAGGCCAGCTCTGGCCGTGGCCCCCGCTTCAGCAGAAGGCCGTGTCCCGGGCTCACCGTACACACTGTGGCCGCAGCTCGGACTCTGCCTTTCCTCCCGGGAGCTGGTCCTGGTTAGTGGGGGACGGTAGTCAGGTTTCAAAACGTGGGCACTAGGAAAGCTTTCGATGGAACAAGTCACCATGGAAATATCACTGAAACGTGATGACAGTAAAAACATTTCGACATGTTTCCCCAAAGCAGAATTAAAGAGAAACTATGAAGCGAAATAGAATGGACAAGAGAAATACTAAAAATCCAGTGAAGATGAAGAAAACAAACAAACCACAACAAGCAATTCTCCAAAGATGAAATGGCACCGAGCAGTGAATGTTGAATGATGGTCACTTTCCTCATGATGAACAGACGTGTGCTAATCCCGAGTGTCGAGGGGGCGCGGCGGGTCTGGGATCACAGTGGGAGGGGCACTTGATTTTTGCTCTGTGCTAAGGAGTCGGACGGCCTGGACTAAGTTACGATATTAAAAAGTTACAAACATCTGTACTAGTTCAAACAGAAGCCAAATGAGGTGTCTTCAAAAAACAAACTTGTTTTCCTGTCCTGTGCAGTCCCGAGGCTGTGTTCAGGTTGGAGGTGCTGCTCACTGCTGTGGTTTCGGGGGGTCCCTTCCTCCCACATCCCTGCTCTGCGGTGTGGGTCACGCTGTGTGGGTCACAGTCGGGTCTGTGCTCAGCATGAGGGGGGAGAATTAGGCCGAGCATCTTCTTATTTATTTAAATATATATATATATTTATTTATTTTAAATTTTAGAGAGAAAGGAAGGGAGAGGGAGAGATAGAAACATCGATGAGAGAAAATATTGACTGGCCGCCTCCTGCACAACCCCCACGGGGATCAGGCCCACAACCTGGGCATGTGCTCTGACTGGGAATCGAACCCGTGACCTCTTGGTGCCGCTCAACCACTGAGCCACACGGGCCGGGCTGAGCATCTTCTTTAAGCAGAGAGAGGATTTGCTCACAGGCCACATCCAGCTGCAGTGGGGGATGAGGGGGGGCCTCCCAGGACAGGCAGCCTGAACCCCTTCCCCAAGAGGCAGGTCCGGCCTTGGGTTCAGTCGCTCCATCCTGACCTGGTCACGTCTTAGTGTCCATGTTCGTGTCCGTGTCCGCGTCCGCAAGCAGGTGTCGATGGCTTGAAGAACAGCAGTCAGACCAGGCGCCCCTGGTCCTCCTGCTACTTCCCAGAGAAGGAAACACACTGGGAAACAGCTCCACCCTGTGTCGGAGGTCTTGCAGGCCCTGGGCAGGAATGAATGGGATGGGAAACGGTGGAGCGTTGTCAGGTTCAGGGTCGGGGGACAGTGAACAGCGGCCACGTTTGTTCGGGAGATGCACGGTCGCGGTTGCGGGGGCCGGGCCCTGGCCGGCCCGGTGAGGCCTCTCACTGTCCACCTCCCCTCGCTGGGCCGTCCGTCAGCCACACTGGCCGCTTCCCTTCGCCGTGTAGAGAGTCGGCGGTAGAAGGCCAGGGCCTTGGGACAGGCAGGTTCCTGGGAAGGGTTCTTTAAATGCGTTCAAAGTTAATTGTATCGATGAAGTAAAGGTGAGCAAAACCTCAAACAAAAAGACACTTCTCAAGTAGAAAGAGACGTTTTCTCCTGTCTTAGTTTATTCCTATGCTCTTTCCACAGAAGAATCGTAACGTGTGAAAACTCTGGGTGCTCATTCCTTTGCCTTTGTTCTTACATTTAAAGTGATGCTGCTGTTTTCTTATGCACCTGCTAAAGTGGTAATATAGGTATGTACATAGTACGTACAGTGCTGGCTGGTTTTTGGGTCGCGGGTTTGATTCTTGGTCAAGGGCACATACCTGGGTTGCAGGTTTGATCCCTGGCCCCAGTCAGGGTCGTGCTGGAGGCAACCAATCGATGTGTCTCTCTCACATCAAGGTTTCTCTTTTTCTCTCTCCTTCCTTCCCTTGTACTCTATCAAAAAAAAAAAAAAAATCAGTGGGAAAAAATCCTTGGGTGAGGATTAAAATAAATAAATAAATAAAGAGTAGGCACAAATCCTGTTCATTGTGGAAATGACACAATGTAGCAATAGTCTGCTGATCTATGGGTTAGTTGCCTAACAACCCAGGAGTCATTTCACATAGGACATCTAAGTCCCCTGTTGGTTTTGTATGAGCTTCTGCTTATCGAGAAGGTGACCAGGTTGCCTGTGACCGGCCTTCCGTACATGGTTCTACGGGAAAACTGATTTCCGCTTGTCTCTATCGGGAATAAGCCACATACAGAACCAAACGGAGTCAGTTCATTGGTTCTCACTACATACTGAACACCTGCTTTTTAAGTCTCTGTGCGTGATACCAAGATGTGTGAGGGGCCCTGGTTGATGAGCCAGTGGGGCAGGTCCTGCTCTGTACAAATATCCGAGCTGCAGTGGGAGAGAGAGTCCCGGCGGCAGTGCCGACACAGTGGACAAGGAAGAGAAGGGCTGCATTTCTGGTCACTGCTGCCCAGCTGGGCCACGATGATGCCTCATGAAAGCTCAGTAATTGTCATTCTAACCGTTAGTGCCGTTCCCCCTACAGAAGTTAAGATGAACATGGCTTTGTGCCTTCAGATTCAGCGTCACAACAGAGCAGACCATGAGGAGCCTTGATGGAGGTGCTGCTTCCCGGACTTACTGCGAAAATGGAGTGAGAGGCTGTGTGACAAATCTAAAAAATCTTGTTTGGAACTATGCAGACTGTTCAGATAGTTGCTCCTCTGACTTGTTGCCTAGTGGTGATGAGTGTCCGGTGGCTGCTGAATGAATGCAAGTGTAGGCAGCTGACTGCCTGCCTGCCTGTCTGTCTGTGTCTGTTGGGCTGTGTGGGTCTGTCACCGTGAGCGGCATGGTCCTGAGCTCTCCAGGACTGAAGCAGCGGTCACTAGCGCAGCTGAAGTCCATGCACAACCCGTGGCTATTTTCTGACTTGAGCCCGTGTGCACAGACTTAAAGATGACCCGTGGGGTGGTGGGGTGCTCTGTGGGTGATGCACTCCCGTGGGGGTGCAGGGCTCCCTCCTCAGCCTGCTGGGACTGCAGGTCCCTCCCTCATGCTGGTCAGTGCCGACTGCAGACATCCAACTGCTGTCCTTCCTTATTCTCTCCCTTCTTTTAGAAACAGGAGGAATCAGGGAAAAACAATCGTGTGAGACAAAACAGCAGCTCCTTACTCTGCCACCTGCTTAAGCCAACCGAGGCTGGCTGGTTGCAGAGCTCATTCTGTGAGTGGCTGGCGGAGGGGCTGTCAGCCGGCTGCTGTGATGTCACTGCAGGTCATGTGGTGCGCTGTGGGCAGCGGGACTGGCCGCCCGGAGCACATGGACCGCAGTCTCAGGCTGTAATTGGAAAGTCGGCTGCTGTCTCGGAGGCATCAGCCTGCGGGGAGCTGGGGGCTCCGACTGTGGCTCTGGGCCCCCCTGCTGCATGACTCAGGCACTGGGTACCGGAGGCTGCTGCTCCCAGTAAGTGCTTCAGGGGGGCCGTTGGGGGCTTGGGGAGGCGGGAGGAGGTGTTGCTGGGACTGCGGGTCCTGGGAGCCCTTTGTAAACGGTCTCCCCAGATCTGGGTGGGGCAGCCTTGCTCCCCAGCCATCCCGGGGCTCACAGGCAGCGCCCATGATGTGCCTTCGCCCTGATTTCGGCTTCTCACGGAATGTGTTTTTGTGATTTGCGTTTTCTAGTTGTGTGAATTGGGGCAGATTTGCCAGATGTGGTTCAAGGGAGAGATCCGACTCCCACACCCGGTGGACGGTGTTCTCGGAGTGGTCGCAGGGATGGGCAGGGTGGTGCCTCCCGCCAGCCCCGCTTCTGCTCCAGACGCTGCAGAAACAGTCAGTGCTCCCTGCTCCGAGAAAGCGGGGCCACCCCGGGGTCTGGCTGTTTCTGGTCAGCTGCAACAACGCCTTCTAAAGGGTCATGTGGGTCTGAGGCCGTCACAGCGGCCAAACAGGTGCCGGCTGTGGAAGGTGATGGAGTTCTCCCTCCTCCCCCAGAAGACCGTCTTCCCTGCTCCAAGGGGCGGCTGGGGAGGGGTGGGAGGCTGGGGTGCGCTCTCTGAGCCGGGGCAGCATCCCAGCGGGCTGGGGTGTGGAGGGAGAGCCCCCTGTGCCATGTTTAGGTCTGCAGCGCAGGGAGCAGCCAGCCACACCTCACTGTCCTCCTGGGCAGAGCCCCGAGGTGCCTGGAGACCGGACATGCGGGGTGCGGGCAGGCCGTGGGGAGGGGGCTGCTGTGCCGGGTGCTTTTCTGCGGCCGCTCCCGGAGCTCCGGGCTGCGGCTGGAAGTTCACAGCAAGACGGGCGAATACGAAACCATTAGGCTGGGTCCCTGAGTACCGGGGAAATATTCTTTTGTTTTGTTTGCAGGGATAACCCCGGTCTCTGCAGAAACGGGGCTCCGGGGCCAAAGACAGCCTCGGGGCGTCCGGGCCTGGAGGGAGGGCGGGCGGGCGAGGCGCCGGGCCTGCGGCGGCTGGGGCGGCGGAGCCACGGGGGCCGGAACCGGGCGCACTGGCCTGGTCCCCGCGAGCAGCCCTGCGCGCACATCTGGCTGCTCCAGCGGTGGGGCCGGGAAGCGAACCCCCGTCGGAGGCAGGTTCCGGCGGCCACACCCTCGCCTCGGGCCGCGGGGGGAGTGGGCTCTGCGGTCTCCGTCACCGAGCAGCTGCCGGCCGAGCCCCACAGGGCGTGGGGGTGCTCCTCCCGCCCCCAACCCCGGGAGGGAGGCCACACCCCCGCTTGGCCACACGCCAACGACCAGCTCCCTGAGCCACGCCCGCGCCCGGGCGCTGATTCCTTGGCCATAAGACCCGGGAGCCTCATCGCCCTGTGAGCACCAGCGCCCGCTGTCGGGGTACAGATGCCGGTTCGGGAGGCCAGAGTTCCAGCTCTCAAAAATTAACGCTTGCGATGCGGAGGCGGCATCACGTGGCCCTTTCCCGGCTCAGTCCCCTGAGCTCCAGCCCTGCGCCAGCTCCCGGTCTGTTCCCTTCCCGCTGGGATCACTGCAGAGGGCCGGCCCCGCCCCTGACCACGCCCCAGGGCAGGCCACGCCCAGCCCCCCAGCCCCCAGGGATGACCACGCCCCAGGGCAGGCCCCGCCCCCACCCCACCCCACCCCAGGGATGACCACGCCCCAGGGGCAGGCCACGCCCCAGCCCCCAACAGGCCCCAGGGTGACCACGCCCCAGCCCCCCCTTATGACCCAGGGGACCGACCACGCCCTAGCCCCTCCATGACCCAGGGGGCTGACCACGCCCTAGCCCCCTACCAGGCCCCAGGGGCCGACCAGGCCCCAAGGGAGCCTACCACGCCCCAGCCCCCCACTACTACCCAGGGGGCTGACCACGCCCCATCCCCCCCAGGCCCCAGGGATGACCACGCCCCAAGGGAACCGACCAAGCCCCAGCTCCCCCAGGCCCCAGGGATGACCACACCCCAAGGGAGCCGACCACACCCCAGCACCCCCCCACGATCAGGGGGCCGACCACACCCAGGCTCCACCTCTCGGGGCCCCAGCGGTGGGTATTCGAGGGCCCAGCACCCAGACCCCAGGCTTCCCCCCAGCGCACCTGCAATCACATAACTCAGGGGAAGAGCGTTTTCCTAGAAAACGGGTGTTTTCGATTCCGGGTCCTACGGGAAGGTGAGGTTCGCTGTCCTGAGAACACGCAGAACAGGTGACAAGTCCTTAGAAAGACAAGAAGCGCATTTCCTCAGGGGCGCCCACGTCTAGTCTCCGCGCTGGCCGTTGTCTCCAGTCCTGCTCGCTGGGCGTGGGCCCGGTGTGGAGGGAGGGGTCGGGTCCTCGCGGCGGCTCCAACACCGGAGAACGTGCAGAGACTTCTTCCCTCCCGCGTGGGCCGCACCAGTGCTCTGTCTTGAGGCAGGACCCGTGCTGACGGAGGGTCAACCCCACGGACAAGATGTTCGATGTAAAATCAGGTTCCAGCCTAACTCGCTCTCTGTGGATGACCACTGGGCCCAAAAGAGGTTCTGCAAAGGGTCCTTGCGGACGGAAGGTACAGCAGAGAGCGCAGGACGGTGTCTGCCTGCGGAAGGCTGGCGAGGTAGCCAGGCCTGGGTGCCCCACCGCGGAAGCAGCCCCCCCCCCCAGGGCAGGGTTCACATGTGAGTTCGGATTCAATACAAACATGAACACATGTGGCCCGGAAGGCATCTTTGTCAGGGCCGTCTGTGTAGCAGTAGCTGCATCATCACCCTGGGTGTTGTTTAATGACAGAAGCCTGGCCGCAGACGGGGCCCTCGGAGTCCACCCGCCGCGGGCACGAAGCAGCGGCCACTGGCCTGAGGCGGCTCTCCGTTCTGGACGTGACACGCCAGGCACATATCGGGACGGATTAGTTCTGGGAGCTCTGAGTGGTCCCGGCTGGAATAAAGGGCCTCTGTTCTCAGGCGCCTGTGTGTTCCGCTCGGTCACAGATGCTGCGCGTGTGACATTTCTACACGGTGACATCTTGCGGGAACTCGGGGGCTGGCTTCTTACTTAGGCTCCAGGTTATGGAGGAGGAAAAGGGAAAGTAGGCACTCATGTTTGTGACACGGAGACTCTCCAAATGAAGATATTATTCTTTTGGAAAAGATGGCACCAGAGGAAATGCAGTCACCACTCCATTTAGACAAAAGCACAGCAAATGTCTCTTGTAAACGAATCAACAGACACAAGTGAGTCTAATGTGCTCTCAGCCAAAAGCTTTTCAGGCCTATCACGGGGCAGTGGGCCTCGGCCCTCCCTAGACTCAGCTGTGGTCTGTGTCCCGAGGGAGCTGAGGTCGCTGTGGACTGTGCTGGTACCTCTGACGTGCCGTCCGGGGTCCGTGGAAGTTATGGGCTGATTTTTCTGATCATGAAGTTGAACTTCTGTGTTCTAGTCTGTTCTGATGAATGCTGTTTTTTTAGGGCAATCTCTTAAACCTCATTCACACCAAATCGCTCGAACTGTTTAGATGGAGGGCTTCCCCGTGAAAACTGTGTCTACTGGTTGTCCCTTGGGCTCTGGGTTTGAGCAGGTCTTCAGCGTGTTTTGGCCGTGGTTGTGACGACCTGTGGCACACTACCCTCGCCAGTCCCACGACAGCCTGTGAGCAGATTCGGCAGAAAAACAGTTCTGTGTGTGTTGGTGTAGAGAGAGGCTGTCCACGGTCCTCAGTGGAAAAGAAAATTCCGTCATGCAAGACCCAGATTTTGAATTTGGATTTTGTGGATGTCAGCAGGGTCGTGATAATAACGAGAATCACAGCGACTGCCACCTGCCGAGCTCCCGATTTGCTCTCGGGCCTGTCACAGCGCTTGGGCTCGGGTTCCAGCCGGGTCTGGCTCAGTCCGAAGCTCAACCTGTTGTAACCGATGCTGTCGAGTTGTGCACACAAACATGAAGGTTGTGACAAAGACCTTGTCCCCATACAACACACACCTGGTGAGGGGCGGGGCCTGGGCCGACAGGTGAGGGAGCATGTCTTTCCTGGGGACAGTTCAGTTTGTTCATAAACTGTGGTGTGGTTAGAAGACATGGCATAGTTCTTCCAACTTTATCCAAGACCCTGTGGCGCTACAGTCAGACTAACTTGCCGTGTGAGGATTAGGGACTTTCTGTAGCAACCAGTGGTACTCAGTGCTCTAGAAACAATATTCTCAGACACCATTGCTGGCCGTCAGTTGTGTTTTCCTGGGGGGGGGGGGGGGCATTCCGCCCCTGACCTAGGGCCGCCTGCCCTGGACCTCAGCCACCGCCGTCTCCCGATGCTGCACGGTCACTGAACGGTGTGCACCTCGAGGCCCTGCCGTCTGAGGCGTAGCAGGATGCTCCAGAGCAGGATTTCCTTGACATTTTAAGAGAATATATTGTGGGAGAACAGCAGAAACATAGAAAACAAAATCTGAGTCATCCACACTGAGCTGCATGCCTTGCTTTTAACAAAGCGACGCCGCAGATCCTTGGCTGGAGCCGACCAGACACCTTGTCCGAGCCCTTCAAGTGCAAGACGGCCCCCGGCTCCAGAAAGTCCCGCCTTTTCTACCTGGTGATAGAACATCCGCCCTGCAGCCAGTAACCTTTCCCGGGGCCTCAGCCTTTCCCGGGGGCCTCAGCCTTTTCCCGGGGGGCCTCAGCCTTTCCCTGGGGCCTTGCACCTCTGGGTCTTACAATGCAGGAAACATCGAACCCTCCCCACCGAGGTGCAGAGTGAAAAGGGGAATTCTAGTCACACAATTATTTTGTTTGGCCCAAACGAGACGACTGTGTTCCCACACGGTACATTTCGTGCTGACTAAAACTTTATATATGAAAGCGTATTCTTTCTAGAAATAAAGCTAGTTGTAGAATAATACTGCAGCACTTTAAACACCTCGTCCTGGTCGTGCGCGGTATTCAATTTCAGGACACATTCTGTAAGAACATTTGGCTCAGATGTTACTAAAAATAATTGCTGCTCTAGAATTTCACGC